TAGAGTTCTGCTCCGGGTGGAAAGGCGGGAAATATGAGGTGTTTTTCATTTTCTGAAGGTATAAAAAGATTCAAGTAGTTTATTCACTGGTTTTCTTCTTCATGTCTTCTGTTTAGAGTTATATTTTAGAGTTCTGCTCCGGATGAAAGCTGGAATCATTATGAGGCTGTTTTAGTTTTCTTAAGGCATAAAAAAGATGCAAGTAGTTTATTCACTGTTTTTTTTTTCACATGTTTTCTATTTAGATTTCCTACTAAATCATTTTTATTTATCCCAATGAAACATGATAAACAATAAAGATAGTAGGAAATTAGTTTATTCATGTTCGTTTTAGATTTCTTACTAAATCATTCGTCATCATTCTTATTATTTATCCCAATAAAACATGATAAATAATACAGACAAACTCCCACAGAGCAGCTTTGGGGTTTCACCTTCAGCTGTTTTGTCCTGATGCGTGAATACTGATGATTTCAGTCATTTTTATTTAATTTTTTGAAGACATAAAATAAGTAAGAAATTTGTTTATTTATTTTCATTTTAAATTTCTTACTAAATCATTCTTATTATTTATCCCAATGAAAGAAAAAGAAGACTTAACATGATAAATAATAAAGACAAACTCCCACGGAGCAACTTTAGGGTTTCACCTTCAACTGTTATGTCCAGAATTTTGATAATTTTAGATAGTTTTTGCAGAGTTTTCATTTTATTTTTTGAAGACATAAAAAAGTGAGAAATTAGTTTAAGGATTTTTCCCACATGTTCGTTTTAGATTTCTTACTAAATCATTCTTCATCATTGTTATTATTTTTATATTTATTTTTTTAAGACATAAAAACTCTAAGAAATTGGTTTATTCAAGCATTTTCTTCTTCATATTTTCTATTTAGATTTCTTACTAAATCATTCTTATTCTTTATCCCAATGAAACATGATAAATAATAAAAACAAACTCCCACAGAGCAGCTGTAGGGTTTCACTTACAGATGTTTTGTCCTGATGCGTGAATTCGGATCATTTCAGCCAGTTTTTCCAACGTTTATATTTATTTTTTTAAGGCTTATTCAGATGTTCGTTTTAGATTTCTTACTAAGTCATTCTTCATCATTCTTATTATTTATCCCAATGAAACATAAAAGACTATAATATAACTTATAGTATGATTAAAAACCCTCATATATACCCAACAAAAAGCAGCTCCGTGTCTCCCTCTGTGGTCTGTAAAGAGCTGGTGAGCTCAGCGCTGCCCCCTGGTGGCCGGTGGCTGACCGTGTCTCTGCCTCTGTGGTCTGTAATGAGCCGGTGAGCTCACTTCTGCCCCCTGGTGGCCGGAGGCTGACTGTGTCTCTCCCTCTGTGGTCTGTAATGAGCCGGTGAGCTCACTTCTGCCCCCTGGTGGCCGGTGGCTGACCCTGTCTCTCCCTCTGTGGTCTGTAATGAGCTGGTGAGCTCACTTCTGCCCCCTGGTGGCCGGAGGCTGACCCGTTTCTCCCTCTGTGGTCTGTAATGAGCCGTTTGAGCTCACTTCTGCCCCCTGGTGGCCGGAGGCTGACCGTGTCTCTCCCTCTGTGGTCTGTAATGAGCGTGGTGAGCTCAGCTATCATCATTCTTAGTTATCTCAACGAAACATAATAGATTATAATACTAGATTATATAATAATAATACTATAATAAAAGATCATAAACTTATAGTACGATTAAAAACCTTCATATATACCAAACAAAAAGCATATCCGTGTCTCCCTCTGTGGTCTGTTATGAGCGTGGTGAGCTCACTTCTGCCCCCTGGTGGCCGGAGGCTGACCGTGTCTCTGCCCAGGTACCTGGTCCTGGAGAAGCTGAGGAAGGAGGACGCCCAGCGGATCCACGTCTTCAGCTCCTTCTTCTACAAACGCCTCAACCAGAGGGAGCGCCGCAGCGGGCCCGAGGCCGCCAACCTGCCGTGAGTCCAGGACCGGGACCGGGACCAGGACCAGGACCAGGACCAGAGAAAGGACCAGAACCAGGACCAGGACCAGAGACAGGACCAGAGCCAGAGAAAGGACCAGGACCAGAGAAAGGACCAGGACCAGAGACAGGACCAGGAGCAGAGACAGGACCAGAGACAGAAATAGAAACACAAACAGACCCAGAATCAGAAATAGAACCAGAACCAGGACCAGGATCAGGACCAGGACCAGAGACAGGACCAGAGACAGGACCAGAGACAGAAATAAAAACACAAACAGAACCAGAATCAGAAATAGAACCAGGACCAGAAACAGGACCAGAAACAGGACCAGGACCAGAAACAGGACAAGGACCAGGACCAGAGAAAGGACCAGAGACAGAAATAAAAACACAAACAGAACCAGAATCAGAAATAGAACCAGGACCAGAAACAGGACCAGAAACAGGACCAGGACCAGAAACAGGACCAGGACCAGGACCAGGCCCAGAGCCAGAAACAGAACCAGACCCAAACCAAGACCAAGACCCAGACCCAGACCCGGGACCAAGACCAGGACCAGGACCAGAACCAGAACCAGAACCAGAACCAGAACCAGGACCAGGACCAGAACCAGAACCAGAACCAGGACCTGGACCAGGACCAGAACCAGGACCAACCGCCCCTCCTTTGTCTTACAGGATCCAGAAGAGGAAGCACAACCGGGTGAAGACCTGGACCCGGCACGTGGATTTGTTCCAGAAGGACTTCATTTTCGTCCCCATCAACGAGTCGTGAGTCTGAATTTGTGCTTTTTAGTTTAAATTGGAGATATTCTGATTTATTTTTTTTTTTTTTTTTTTTTTTTTTTTTTTCCAAATGAATTCATATAGATTATTTCCATTTTTTATGGGAAACTATCAAGTTTTCGTTGTTTTATTTTAAAAGGAGCTCCTATTTTTAGAGGGATTATTAACCAAACTAATGAAAGAGACACTTTAAGGTGTTTTAAAGCCTTTTATTGTCCTCTCAGGTCAGTTTGACTGAAGCAAAAAGTCTAAAATGAAAGAAATTGTTTGGTTTTCACAGTTTGATTAGAGATATTCTGCTTTATTTTGATTTTATTTAGTAATTCATCTGATTCCCAAATTAATTTATGCAGATTTTTCAAGTTTTAGGGAAACCAGAGCTTCTCATGACCTTCCTCTGACCTTCGCCTGACCTTCTCCTGACCTTCTTCTGACCTTCTCCTGACCTTCTTATGACCTTCTCATGACCTTATGACCTTCTCATGACCTTCTCCTGACCTTCTCATGACCTTCTCATGACCTTCTCCTGACCTTCTTATGACCTTCTCATGACCTTCTTATGACCTTCTCGTGACCTTATGACCTTCTTGTGACCTTCTCGTGACCTTATGACCTTCTCGTGACCTTCTCCTGACCTTCTTCTGACCTTCTCCTGACCTTCTCTCCTCAGGGCTCACTGGTACCTGGCGGTGATTTGCTTCCCGGGCCTGGAGGGTCCCGTATTTGAGAAGAACCCCCACTTCCCGGGCCCGGCGGCGCCCGGCGTTGCCGTGGCGACGGCTCCGGAGGACGGGATCCCGGACCACTGCCGGCCGCTGTCCCCGGACCGAGACGCGCTGGACGGCTCCGGGCCGCCGTCACCGGCCGAACCCGAACAAACGGGCGGAGAGGAGCGATACACCAGTGAGACGGGCCTAAAGCCTAAACATAAACACTAAAGATTAACCATAAAGATAAAGCCTAAAGATGAAGCCTAAAGATAAGCCATAAAGCCTAAAGATAAACACTAAAGATTAACACTAAAGATAAAGCCTAAAGATAAAGCCTAAAGATAAACACTAAAGATAAACACTAAAGAT